AGTTTTTGGTTTTTTCCGCTCCTCCAATATTCTACGGCTCTTTGTTTATAGTTAGTTTAGTTTATTTATTTACAACTTATATGTTACATTTGGTTTACATTTCTTATATTGCTATTTGTGTCTCGTATCCAGTTTGTGTAGTTGATTATGTATGTGTTTTGTGTGTGTGTGTGTGAGTGCGCGCTTGCGTGTGTGTGTGTGCATGTGTTGTATAAATATGTGCATTTGTAGGTGTGTCTGCAACTCTTGTGTCCCTGTCTTGTACGCCTGTCTGTTCCTCTTTTTTTCTCATTTTTCTTCTGATTAATCTTCTCTTCCTCTTTCTCTCTCCAAGATCTGCCTTTTCCGCTCTTCTGTTTTTTTGTCTCTTTCTTGCATATTTTCTTTTCAGCTTTTCCTTTATTACTTTCTTTTGACTTTTCACCTTTGCCTTCCCTTTGCTTTTGCTCTTCTTCTTGCTAATCATTTCATCTATCTTTCTCCTTATTAAGGCTTTGACACCTTTTTCTTGTTTCCTATTGCTCCCTCTGCCTTTCCTTTCCTCAACCTCACTTATTTTTCCTTAGTATCTTATGCTTTGTCTTCTAGTTTACCTTTTTCTTTCTCTTCTTCGATTCTTCTTCTTTTCCATTTTGCTCCATCCTCTAATACCTGCTATTTGCCGCTATACCTGTAGTTGCTGTTACTTGTGTCTTGTGTGTGTGTGTGCATGTGTATGTCTATGTTTGCGCGTATGTTCGTGTTTTGTGTTTTTTTTTTTTTTTTTGAAGAGAGTTGGAGAATGCTTTATGCACGTAACGGCGTTCCGGCTCGTCCTGTGTGGGAATCCCTAAGCATGGTATACCCACTAAACTCCCATCTCTCTATGTCCTGCCTGTATCCCCCGCGGGAACCGCCGCTAGGCATTACTTCGCGGGGGGGCTTCTGCTATATTAGCCTTGTCTTCTTCATTACCTTTCGGCTGTGTCGTTTTCTTCGATCTTCATCGTCTTCGGCTATGTTAGCCTCGTCTTCTTCTTACGGCATCATCCGGTCGTTTTCTTCTATCGGCATCGTCCGGTCATCCTCTGGACAGACTCTACCTCGACACCTACGTTCCTCTGCATCGGGTGAGGGAGTCTGGGCTCAATCCAATGTCCTTTGCTCTCCCGCAAAGGCAGGGGAGCGCTTTGGATAGGCTGGTGCCTTGTTATCCTATGGACTTAGGTGACCCCAGAGCCTACGTTCCTCTGCATCGGATGGGGTAACCGCGCTCTACTAACTACTCTGTGGTAGTTTAGGAGCGCTTTTTAGTCCCATAGTCTGGCACCTCGCTCTATCTATGCATGATAGACCTGTCGCGTCTTCTATCTTCCTCCTTTCTTACTTCGGTCAGCCGGTTTACCACTGACGTGGCAAAGGTCACTACCGTTTCCCATCCCTCTGGCGAGCCGAGCAGGCAAGCTCCGAGCCCTTCGGGACTCATTGGATCATTCCACTCCGTGCGGAAATGCATCCGCTCTTCAGCGAAGCGGGGACACACAAATAAGACATGTTCTACGTCCTCGTCATTGCCTGGACAGGCTGGGCATTTGGCACTCGCATATACACCGATGTGTTGGAGATAAATGCGGAAGCAGCCATGACCGGTGAGCACCTGTCTCAGTTGGAAGGTGAGGTGTCCGTGGCGCCTGCCTGTCCACTTGTCAATGTTCGGGATGATGCGATGAGTCCAGCGACCTTTCACTGCGTTGTCCCATTTTCTCTGCCATTCTCGCAGTTTTCTCTCCAAATTTTGCGTCCACCGTTTGCTGTGGACATGTCTATCAGCTTTGTTCTCTTCGTTACGACCTCCTTCACGGTATATTTCTGCTCTGTCGCATGCTAGTAGGTCGATAGGCGCTATTCCAGCGATTACCGAGACTGCTATGTCCGATACAGTTCGGTATGCACAGGCAACTCGTAGTGCTGCTGCTCTGCAGGCTCTTCGACACGTCCCTCCGTAGCTTGCATTATTTCTTAGCGCATCCGCCCATATAGGAGCTCCGTAGAGAATTACCGAGCTTACGACCGGCGATAGGAGGGTTCTGCGTGGTTGCTTTGGCCCACCGACGTTTGGCATGATACCTGCCAACGCTCTAGCAACGTTAGTGGCTTTGACACCTGTTTTCGAGAGGTGTTCCTTAAACGATAGCCGCGTATCTAGTATAACTCCCAGGTACCTCAACGTGTCAGTCGACTGTACTCGCTTATTTTCCACCGTGAATGTGGCGTACTTCCGAGCTTTCGTGCGGGAGATGAGCACCGTTTCCGTCTTTTCCGCAGCGAGACTGAGCCCATGCCTTTTTAGCCATCGAGCCACCACCTCGATGGAGACGTTTCCTATATATTCTATCTCCTCAACGCTCTTTGCCGTGACCACTAGTGCTACATCATCGGCAAAAGCTATTATCTCTATTCCCCTTGGCAACTGCTGTCTTATTAGTCCGTCATATAGGACATTCCATAGCAAGGGGCCAAGCACCGATCCCTGCGGCACTCCTCCCGTGATGTTGTATGAGTGTGTGCCATCGTCGGTGTTATAGTGCAGGATTCGGTTGCTTAAGTAGCTCGATAGGGCTCTACGCAAATACAGCGGTACCCTCAGTCCTTCCATGGCTGTCATAATGATGTCCCATCTTGCCGAGTTGAACGCATTTCGGATGTCTAATGCGATCACAGCGCACATGCGTCTTGCGCTCCGTCCGCCGCTAATGGCATCTTTGGCCAGGTCCACAACTCGACCAATAGCGCCTAAGGTTGAACGGCCTTTTCTGAAGCCGAACTGGTTTCCAGACAGGTCCCCCGCTTCGGCTATAGCTGCCTCCAATCTGGCATGGATTACTCTTTCCAGCAGTTTTCCTATAATATCCAACATGCATAGTGGTCTGTAGGACGAAGGCTGCTCGGGAGGCTTATTTCCCTTGGGTAGCAGCACCAGTCTTTGCAGCTTCCACGAGTTTGGAAAATGTCCTTCTCGCAGGCACGCACTAAATGTATCGCGAATTATTTCCGGGGCATTCAGTGCTGCCGTCTTGATGGCAATTTCCGGTATCCCATCCGGCCCTGGCGCTTTCCGGGTTCGAATTTTCTTCGCGGCTACTATCAGTTCCGCTTGGGTTACTTCTGTAAACTCGATTTCATCGTCTCTTTCCATTAGGCCTGTTTGTTCTGGGCTCTCCCGATGTCTTGGGAACAGATGTCGCACTACTCTGTCGAGGAATAATGGGCAAGATGGTGGTGCGCCACTCCTGGGCTTGATCTTGCGCATGACCGTTTTATACGGCCGGCCCCAGGGGTCCTTATCTACTTCCTCGCAGAAGTCTCGCCAGCACTGTCTCTTAGCTGCTTTGATGGTGACCTTGAGCAGTGATCTTAGCTCTTCATATTTTTCGGTCAGAGCTCGGAAGTTGGGCTTGTTCCTTGCTCTTTGATGGCGCCTTCTGGCTGTAAGACATTTATGCCTCAGGCTTGCGATGTTTTCATTCCACCAGTAAACCGGTAATCTACCCCTTGCGTTGCTCTTGACAGCCATGGATGCATCACATGCAGTGTTGAGAGCTCGTGTGAGACCCTGCGCCTTTTCCTCCGCGGTTCCGGATACTGATATTCCTTCAAGGGAGTAGAGAAATGATTCTCTGTCGAAGGTATTTGGTGCCCATCTCCTCTTGTTTTCCGTTGTCCTGGTGGATACCGCTTTTTTGATCAACTGGATCCGGTACATTATGGCTTGATGGTCACTGCCCGTGTACCGATCGCTGACTCTCCAGTTGAGCTCCTCCGTCAATAGTTTGGCATCTATAAAGGTAACATCCACTATGCACGATTTCCCCGCCTTGGAATAGGTCGGGGTCGTTCCTCTATTGGCTACCTCGAGCTCCAATACTCCGAACGCCTCTAGAAGTGCATGCCCGCGAGCATTTGTTTTCGCGCTTCCCCAGTTTACGACCCATGCATTAAAATTACCTGCGATGACCATCGGTAGGCGTGATGTCATTGCACTGGTAACAATGTCATCCAGGAATTTCTTAAACTCGCTTATCTCTTCGCTAGGTGGGAGATAGCAACTATATATATGCATGCCAGCCACTTCTATCCACGTAAAGTTTGAGGTTGGATCGTGTAGGTGTCCGCATACCCAGACAGCCGCCGTACCAGTCGCATCTTTCACCCAGTTCGGCTCATCGAGATCACAGTACTTTTCGCTAACTATGACGATGTCGGCCTTTTCCTCCCTTACCAACTAGTGCAGCAGGTCCTGAGCCGCTGCACAGTGGTTGAGGTTGATTTGGAGGACTTTAGTCATTTTTAGCGTGAGATCCCTCCTTCTTTGCGTCCGTGCAGTCTGCTGCCTTATGCCCCTCCTTTCTGCACCTGAAACACTGCTTGGAGCGGTCTTCATCGCTTTTGCAGTCCTTTGCGATGTGACCATTCTCCAAGCACTGGTAGCATCTTTGTGTCGGTGTGTAAGGCTGAACTCTACAGTTCACCCATCCTATTCTCAGCTTTCCGTTTTCAAGTAGCTTTCTGGCCGCTGCTACCGGGAGCTGGATATGTGCCGCTTGTGTGCCGTTGTACAGTCCTCTGATTTTTATGCTGCTACTTGCAGCTGCCTCTGGTCCGATAACTGCAGCTACAGCTTCTATCACTTCCTCAGGTATGGTTGTCTCATCCATGTCTTTGATCCTGAGGGTTTCTTTATCGGTCATCAAGTGGACTTCTGCTGACTCCTCAAGTGTGGCCAGGACCATCTCTTCTATGTTTGGGGACCTGGTTCCCGGTTTCCCCAGTTCGAGGAGTAGTTCTCCTGCTCTAGTACGCCGTATTCGGGTGACTTTTTCACCTATCTCCTTCATGTTGGGTGCTGCCTTGACCTTCCTCAAGATGTCGGCATACGAAGTCTCGCCCAGTGCTTTGATCTTAATAGCTTCTGGGCGAGGCTTCCTGCTCGTGGTCTTAGTGGTTTTACCCTCTCTAGTGCCTTATTTTTTATTGGTCTCTTTTCTCTTCTTTTCTTTCTTCTTGGCTTTGCCCTTTCTTCTTACCTCTTTCCATTCGGAGGCTTTTTTCTCGGCAATCTCCTTTCTTTCTTCGCTCTCCCTTGTGAGCAGGGTTTTTTCTTGGTCGCTTTTGGCCTTCTTCGTTGCTGGCGGGATCGTCGGCGGTTGCCTCTCTAAATTTCCACGCTTTTTCGCTTTTTCTCTAAAGATGGGCGATGTTTGGATCTCATCGTCCCTTACCGTCAGGTTTTCTGTACTTCTTTTGGCCCCCTGGCAGAAGAGTACGCGCAGCTTCGCGTACTCCTCTATCATACAGTCTGCCGTTCTGGCCATGGTCTTCAGTTCTGCGTGGAGGTTCTTCTTTTCTAGAATAAACTCCACCAGCTTTTTGACCTTTCTCTCCAGGCTCTTGAAGCATTTATCAGCTTCACTGCGGTCTTTTTCTTTTTGATTTGATTGATTATTCTTCATGTTGGTCCCACGAGTAGCTAGGGAAGTTGTCGTCGATCCCACGCAGAGCCCCGCGTGCGTGGGACAAGGCTAGATACGAGGGAGTTTCGCCAGGTGCTCCGAACGCTCCGTTTGGGACTCTCTGTTACCCCCGAGAAGCAACCAGGCTACATCGGCACGGGTCGCTTCACACCTTCAGCTTGGGTGGTCCGTTAACCTGGACGGGGACCCTTTAACAGGGTGCTATCATCCGGGTCAGATGAGCCTTGGTTTTTTAACGAGGTTGGTACTCCTCCCCCTCCTCCTTCCCTGCTTCTTGAGTAGCAGGGTCCCGGGCTTGGGACCGGCGGTGGCGGAGTTTGTTCGTGTTTTGTGTGTATGTGTGTGTATGTATGTGTGTGTAGATGTGTCTGCGAGTCTTGCTTCTCTGTCTTCTGTTTCCGTCTCTCCTTAGGGTCTTGCAGCTTCGTCTTCTTGCTTTTCTTTTTCTTTCTTCTCTTCGTTTCTTCTTCTTTTCCATTTTATCTTCATCATCCACGCTATCTTTTCTTTGTTTCCTATTATTATTTTTTCCCATTCTTCCCCTTCCTTTCTGCTTTTTTCACATTTTTCTACCATGTGCTTCCAATTTTCTTCCTCTTTCATATACATTCGGCATCTCTTATTTTCTTCCTTTTTCCAATACCTGATTCCTCTCATTTCATTACCTAACCTAAACCTTTCCCTTATTTATAGGCCTTTTATTCTTCCCTCTCCTTGAATTTCATTTAATCGATATTTTTTCATTTCTTCTTTCAGTTCTTTCCACTTGTTTATATATCTTGACTTTTCTCGCTTTTCTTGTGGTTCTTTTTCTTCTTTTTTCTTTAGCTCTTCTCTTATTTCTTCCCAAAACTCTTCTTTCATTTCGTTTCCCTCTTCCCTCTCTCTGTCTATTTTACTTTTTTCTAGCCTTTCCTCTCTCTCCTCCTTCTTACCCTTTTTATCTTTTTCATTTCTTTCCCTTTTCTTTAATTCTCTCCATGCTTCTTTTTTTATTGAGCCATCTCTTTCTTCTCTTATTTTGTTTTCATACTTCTTTGCTCTTTCTAATGCTGTTTCTTTCTTTTCTTGTCTTCCTGTTTCCTATCGTATTGAGTAACTTGGCGTGTTTCTATCCAAACCCAATACCCACTTTATAAATTTTAGTTGGAATCTCTCTATTTCTTCATATCTCTTCCATCCCCAGATATCTGCTCTATACATAATCACGTGCGTCGAACAGGTTCATCCTTAGCTCCCAGTTTTCTCTAAATAGCTTGTCTCCTAGCCCCCATAGCCTTCCGAGTCCCATATTTATTTTCCCTTCTACCTTCTTTATCTGCTTTTTATTTCCGTTATTTCTGTTTATCACATATCCCAAGTAGTTGTACTCTTTCACCATCTCTATCTTCTCACCTTCCCATTCGAATTCTTCTTCCTTCCCCCTTCCTCCTCCTCTCCTGCATTTCATCATCTTTGATTTTCCTACATTTAACTATAATCCCCTTTCTTCCAGGTATCTTTTTAATTTTTGCAGCATTGCTTTCATTCCACTTTCACTCTTTGCCATCATCACTATATCATCTGTATATCCTAATGTCCATATTTTCTTCCTTCCTATCACTACCCCTCCTTCCTGCACCTGCATGATCTTCACTTCCAGATAGGCGAAGGCAAAATTAAATAGCGTGGTGCTCAAAAGTCACCCTTGCCTTACGCCTTTGTAAGTCTCAAACTCCCCAATTATTTCTCCTCTAACTTTTACATTACTCCCTGTTTTCTTGTATATTTCTTCTATTCTTTTCCTAATTTTTCTATTTATCCCTTTCTCATTCATTGTTTCCCATATTTTCTTTCTCTTTATTTTATCAAAAGCGGCCTTCATGTCTGCAAAGAATACGAACAGTTTTCCTCCTTTTTCCCTTATTTCCTTCCTTATTATTGTTTTTAATATATATATTACGTCCATTGTTCCTCTTTTCTTCCTAAATCCCGTCTGCGTATCGCTTAGCGTTTCTTTAGCTTCTAGTTCTCTTTCCAGCTTTTTCCTTAGTATTTCTGCATATATTTTATATCCCGTATCCATCAGCGTTATTCCTCTATAGTTTCCTACTTCTTCTTTCCTCCCTTTCTTATATATTGGTACTATTATTCCCTTCCTCCATTCTTCCAGATATCGTTCTCCGTTCCATATTCCGTTTAAGCATTTTGTCATGTCTTTTATCAAGCCTTCCGTGCCTTCCACCCACGCTTCATTTGCTATACCATCTTCTTCTGTCGCCTTTTTCTTTTTCATTTTTCTTATTACCTGTTTTACTTCTCTTTCTTTGATTTCTTCACCTTCCTCTCCTTCGCTGTCTTCGGTTTCTTCCCCTTTGCTTTCTTCCTTTTCTATCTCTCCCAATTGTGCCATAAAGTGCTTTATCCATTCTTCTTTTCCTATATTTTCATCTAATCCAATTCTTTTCTTCCTATTACCATTCACTTTTATCTCATAATTTTCTTCTCGTCTTATCTTTTCTTATTTCTTCTGCCACTCTTTTCCCCTCATCTTCTTTTGCTTTTCTTATATCCTCTCTGTATTCTCTCTTTGCTTTTAAGTATTTGCCTCTGTCTCCTTCCCCTTTTCTTACCTTATTTAACTCTGCCATCACCCTATCCCTTTTGCCTTACATTCTTTTCTCCACCAGCTTTTTTTTTGATCCTGTTTTTTTCGTTATCTTCTTTTTTACAACTGCGTTCTTCACTCTATTTTTTATATCTTTCGATTTATCTGTTCCCCTATTCCGTCTATCCATCTCTGATACTCCCTTATACCTTCTTCACTCCAGTCGTCTATCATTCGTTCTTCCGCTATTTTGTCTCCCAGTTCCACCTCTATTGGTAAGTGGTCCGACTTTACCCTCTCCTTTATTTAAACCTTTTTTATCGCCTCATCACCTTCCTCGTTACCTACTACATAGTCTATCGTTGACATTCCTCTCGCTCCTATATATGTTATTTCTCCCTCTTCATCTCCTTCTTTTCTCCCATTCGTTATCACTAAGCCTATTTCTCCTAGCCATTTTATCATTTCTTCTCCCTCTGCGTTTAACACTTTATCCTTGGCCTTTATTTCTTCTAGGTTTTCTTCTGTCTTCCATTCTCTTCCTTCGTTTCCTGTTCTTGCGTTGAAGTCTCCTCCTATAGTTATTGTTTTTCCTCTGTTCTCCTCTATCTCTTCGCTTAGGTATTCATAGTTTTCCTTCTTCTCATGTTGCATATACACCGATGCTATCTTGTATTCCCTCCCTCCGATCTTTATTTCTCCTACTATTACCTCACTTGTCCTTTCTTTCTTCCATTCAACCTTACTCATCCCATTCCTCTCTCTTACCGCCATTATTCCTCCCCCTATTTCTCTCCCCCTTCTTCCTTCCCTTCTTGAGTCCCTCCACTCTATGCTGTACACTTTCAGTTGCTTCTCCACACCAGTTCTTGCCCCTTGCCTCTTCACCCAGGTTTCCGTTAGCCCTATTATGTCGAATTCCCTGCCATATTCCCAGTCGTCTTCCTTCATGCTCCTCACCCTGGCCACGTTCCAGAATAGTATTTTTACTGCCTTTCTCCCCTCTCTCTCCTTTCTCTCCTCTCTCTCTCTTTTATCCCTATTGTTTTCGAATCCCTTCCACCCCCTTTCCTACCATTTTTCCCTCTCTCTCGCTCCACCACCATGCTTCTTCCTCTGACTGCACCCCGTTATGCCACATCTTTACCTCTTTACCTTTACTTTTTATTTCTTTCGCTTTCCTTCTTACTTCCTCTTTTATCCTTCACTGCTTCCACGTCCAGTCTTGATCTATGTATATCTTTTTCTGTGCCAGATTCTTTTTCTTCTTCATAATTCCTTCTTGTTGTTCCCATAAAGCGCATCTAATTTGCCACATGTTTTTTCTTCTTTCTCTCCGATCATCCCTCTCCACTGTTCCTCCTATTCTTTTCAGGTTCACTATCTCTCCTTTCATTTCTAGTACCTCCCTTAACCAGACCTCTGCCTCTCCCTTCTTTTCCCATCTTAACTCACCCTCTAAGTCTGTCACTATTATATTGTTTATCCTACTTTCTCTATCCATTTTTTCTCTCATATGCACTAATTCTTCCTTATTGCCTACTTCTGTTCCTCTTTGCTTCTTGTTTCCTCTTTCAATGCTTTCTTTTAGTTTCACGCACTCCTCTTCCAACTGATCCATCCTCTCTCCCCATTTTTCCTGCAGTTTCTTTTCTCTACGTTCTACTTTTTCCCTTTCTTCTTTCGTCTCTTTCTTTCTTTCTTCTCTCTCTCTCTCTCACTTGTTCTTTCCTAACTTTTCCTATTTCCTTCTCCCATCTTTCTTCTCTTCTTTTCCCCTCTGCCTCCATTCTTTCCATTTTTCCCATTATTTCTTTAAACATTTCTGTCCATTCTTTCCCTTCCTCCTTCCATACCTCTCTTAATTCCCTTATATCTGTCCGTATCTTTTCGATTATATATTCTGCACCACTACTTTTTCCCACTTCTCTTATCGTGTTGTCCAATCCTTCTCCCCCTGCCCATCCATCTCGCTTCCCTCACTCTCACTCTTGCATCTCTTTGCCTCTCTCATTTCTACTCTATTATTCTCCCTCAGCCCCTCGCCGCTCTCTCTCCCACTCACCACCTTTACTCTTTTCTACTTTTCCTCCTCTGGGCCTTTCTTATCCAACCTTCCACCTTTATCTCTTAATTTTTCTGTTGTCACAAATCTTTCCATCCTCTCCCGTACGCCTTAATTCGACTCTCTATATCTACCCGTGATCCCACCTTTATTCCCTGTCTTACCTTTTCTGTCTCTGCCTTTACTTCTTACCGCCCCTCCTCTCTGCCTGCCTTTCCCGCTTTCTGATTTTCTCTCTTAACCTCAACTTTTATTTTTTTTATATTCCTCTTTCTCTGCTTTTTCCTGCTCTTCTCCAGGCCTCTCTCTCTCTCTTCTCCACTCCTC